TACCTTACATATTTCCCCATTTAAAGGGCGACTGGAGATTAGGGAAACCCAATCGCCAAATTCTGGGGAGGGAGAATCATCATCCACCCCCTTTTTTAGTTCGGGCGCCACTGTAGAGCCATTAGAATTATTTCGAAGCAGAAGACATGAAAAGTGAGCAGTGCCTTCGTCGGGATTCCAACCACGGACCCCTCGAGTACGCGCCGAGCGCGCTGACCACTACACCATGAAGGCTAAGAAGGCGGGAGAAATACCTTATATACGCCCCCTTTTAAAAGGAGACTGGAGATTAGGGAACCCATCGCCAAATCCTGCTGGTGGAGAATCATCATCCACAACCTTTTTTAGTTTGGGTGCCGCTGTAGAGACATTAGGATTATTTCGAAGCAAGATATATGTAATTGAGCAATTTCCTCGCCGGGACTGGAACCACGATCCTCTCGAATACGCACCGAGCGTGCTGACCATTACACCACGAAGGAATGCTTAGAAGGTTTGAGAAATACCTTATACGCTGACTTCAAGAAAAGTAAGTCTCTCTGGAGTATGTAGGGGAATAAACTACGAAAGCTTTCTCCTTCTCCATCATCATAATGGGAAATAGTAATAGTTTTGCAAAAGGAGTGGTTAAATATAACTTTAATGATTAAACAAGATTAATTTTATTCATTTCCAAGAGGAATCTTTGTAGGAATGGCCTCCAAAAGAGGGCCTATATCATATTAATAAAGTACTACATTTTAGATGTAGGTTTTTCAGCTTCATTGTCCAACCCTTGTAAATTCTTGCCAGTTTCATTTAAAAAGTCGTCTATAAAAAGATCATTCCTACGCCTTGAAAGATAGCACTCGGGTGTTTTGTCTTTTTTATTAAATCCAACACAGTTATGCTTATTCTAGAGACGTGGTTTCATTACAACTGCAATTCTATTATTGCTGCTTTTTATAATCTTAAGATGTGAGCATTAATTACATAAACAAGCCGAAGTCTGCAAAAGATGAAATATAATAAAATTTTGAGTAAACTTTTACAAAGTATTGATGATAACTGGAATATATGCCCGCATCTAAATTAAATGTCAATAAATATTATAGGAACCAACAATGATTCTTTTACTTTTTTAAGCCATTAATTGTTTTGAAACTTTCTCTTAGCGAAATTTACACAAATATAAATGTTTTATACATATTTATTGCACAGACAGCTTGAAGTTGAAAGGAAGTCAAAAAACGCTTTATGTGCTTAAATTTATTTATTGCGAATTTCGTAAGGGTGTTCTGTCAAAAGAATGAACTAGGAGACACAAAAGAAGGAAAAAATTAAATTTACGATGTCAGAAAATCGACTGGCGCTCGAGGACAAATATTCTATACTGTCTGAGTTTCAATTTTTTTTCATGAATACAAGGAAAAACTTTAAAAAACTGCAAAGATATCTGCTGAAACAAACTGGTAACTACCAAAATGAAAAACTGCGTGAAAGGAAGTGTAATACTTTAGAAAATTAAGAGCATTTTTCTTCAGATCAGATTATCTAATGAAAATTCTTCTGTCTCATAAAAATGATATAAAGTTTGAATCTTTTGGTTAATAATTGCGATAAATTATCACCCCCCTTGATTTTCTCCTCCGAAGCAGGGAAGGCTATATTGCTGTCTGCCTACATGAAATAATTTTCATTTTTATACCGTTAATGAAAACCTATGTAATCCTTAATGATTTTTATTGTTAGAATTCATTCTGTCTTATTTAAATAGGAAACATGAATCACGATGCAATATTTATTTCCAGTTTCTTGCTGAAGTTTCTCTGCAAACTAGGAAGAACTAATTACTTTAGCAAAATGAATTATTCGCTAAACATGTGATGAACTAAAAAAAAAAAAAAAAAATCTATAGTTTACTGGGATATAGCCAAATATCAGTTTGGAAGATAATACAATTTCTTTTAAGTATGCTCTTTAACTGCTTTTGTTCTTGTTGTGCAATAACATTAGAGTATTCAAATTCATAAATTAGATTTACATTCATATACCTCTATAGATGTGCGTTTGGAAAGCTGCGTTTAACAGCTTTCAAATATTCACAACGTTCATAGCTTTGTAGGGATCCTCACTTTTATGTATATTAATTAAGTGTTCAGGAACCTAGTGAACAGCTAAGCGAATAATCGCTTCAGTTCAAAAACAGAGACGGAAACTCAAGAAGGATTAATTACCCTTTATTACTCAAAATAAAGTTGACGGTGCCTTTCTCAGGACGTACAACAAAGCCTCCACTTGGGCTTAAACTCAAAAATGTAAGAAATAAGAACTTAACTAATTAGTAACTAAAGAGATTTAGCCAAAGCTAACACAATTTCTAAACTAGTTGGCCCATATTATTCAATTAGCTAGCGAAGCTATCAAGGCCACGTAATACGGCCGAGCGTAGTAAGAGTTTAGAGAGACGTAGCCAAACGGCAAACACGTGCCATTCAGGAAATCTAATTCTCTCTCTCGAAGTCAGTAGAACTTCGACTTAAACACTCTCTAGTACTCATTTGTATTTAACGCGATTCTAAAAATTCATCCTGGTAAGGAACAGTAAGCTGAAGCTAGAAGAGCTAGATTTTAACTTAAAATTAACTGTTATAAAATTAGGATGTACTACAGTTGAAGGCTGTCTTTAAATAAATATCGTGTAGTTTTTTGACACACCAATGCACATTCATCATTAACTTGCTCATCCGTACAGTTTGACAGTAAGCGAAATTTTCTTATAACTCTAAATGTGAAGCGAGCCAAATTGAACTTTAAGCAAAATTCATTCTAGACAGACATTAATTCCAGAGAAGTGTTTTCTGTATTTTGAGAAAATCTGAAACAATTGCTAAGACAGACCATGGGAAGTCTGATGTTTCAATATCTCTCGAATTTTGCTGATGTCTACAAAATCTTGATATACTTTAGATTCTAACTTAATTACACTAGATTCTTCATATGCTTTGCTTTGAAAAGAACGTATGAATCTCTCATATTTTTCGGAGACCAAAAATCTTTCATTATTGCTAGGCAATTTTTTAATAACTGTATGGTTTCTTTCCATTACTCTTGCTATTTCCCCTAGAAATCGCCTTTCCTTCACAGCTTGGTGAGCACTGGTATTTCTACGAATGTTCAAGACAAGACAAACTTTATATGAGTTTCTGCAGCTACACGAGCTGGAGATCCTAATTGAGAGCTGCCATATTAGGCAAGCGGTGGTAATCCAACCAAAAATCTCCTGGGAGATGTTAGTATTTCACTTTAACGAGCATCCGGGTCCCACGCCTGATCCTTACGGGCATTTTAATTTTCTCCCTTACAACACTTTCGAACCGGGTCTGATGGGTCACCACTCCTTGTTCTGGGCAGTACTTATGATGCGTGGCCTATTCGGCTGGAAATGTGCCTGGTCATCAATAATGCTTCCACCATTACTATGAGGACTAGCCGTCGAGGACATTACCCAGCATACCCGCCTACCGAGCTACTGGTGCCACCGGCTCTAGGACGTAGGCCAATCTCCCTCGGTCCAAATAAGTCCTTTCTTACCTCCATAGATCCAACCGTACGACCCTATGGAGGTAGGAAGTAAGACCTTTCTTACCTCCATGGTACGAACGGTCTTCCCTCGGGTTTTAGAACCGCTAGGCTAGTGTTTTTATTCCCTCGGTGCCGAAACTGTCAAAGTACGGATCCTAGACAGTACAGTAAACAATTGCCGGGGGTACGAGTATTCAAATCTGAGGAAACTGTTTGGCTACTTGGGCGTTTTCTCTGTTTTCTGGATGTGTAACGTTTTTTCTTTAAAAGGCCTTTTTATGGAAGCAGTCCTTCCCTTAAACTGATAGCCTTCGTAAGCTTTGTCATTGTCAGTTAACCTAACTTAAACTATTAATTTGTGGACATAATTTGAGATTTAACGAGCTTCTTTCAACTGATGTTAACTTAATATATCTGAAAGCTTACTACATGCATAATTATTGTAAACAATTTTGTATACAACTCAGTTTCGTTAATAAAGAGTTTTAAACAAAATCCAAATGAAAACCGTAAACGTATTTTCGATTGATTCTGCCACTTAGCATTTATATCAAATAGTTACTTTGTAGTTAATTGTATTTAAATAATTTATTCCGCTCGTAAAATTTTAATTTTTATCTTCATCTTTTTCAAAATTTATCAAAGATTCTTTTTTATTTTCTCTTATAGAGGGCTGTTTAAGTATTTTAAACTTAAACTCTATTCTTCAACGAATAAATCCAGCATGTTCAGAATTCCACCTCCAGATATCTCTTTACCAAATGAATAAATGAATTCTATTTTGAATTCTCTCTCTTCCGTAAGCTGTCGGTCTTTTCCAGTTTCCAGTAATAAATATATATATTGATTGATAATGTAAGAAAAGCTTATGAACTAAACGAAAAGGACCTGTGTGGTCAAGAATTTTGCGCATTGAGCCGCAAAATTTGAAATAAATTAAAAAGTAATTCTTCAAGCTATAGCCTACGAGTAAAGCGATACTTCGTTCCTTTGCAAAAAAGTATAAACACATAGTAAAGATCCAATTGTAATACAAATGTACAAAATGTATATATTGATTGAGATGCATTTTAAATCCGTGTTCTAAGAATACATTATATGTTCTAAATTTTCGATAGTACTAGGTAAGAAAATTTTCCCAAGGTAGCGTACGTAGAGGCGTGCCCTACTATTCGCGGATTATACGTTTAGACACATTTTAATGAATTATCGTATTCACCCCCCTCCCATACGTACTTTCGTTGTGTGTGGTTAACACGCACACCTAGTATTGGAGCATCTGTGGTTCGAACCCCGGCGACGGCACCATTGCTATTTCACTTTTCTTGGCGTCAAAAATATATAATGGTTTCTGTAGTGACCCCCTGACTCAAATGTGGTAGAAGATTACTCATCATTGCTTGAATTTAATCAACTGGGTCTATTGCATCTCCCTAGGTATCCTTTAAGTGAAGTAGAATGCAAGGCATTATCATATTGCTCAGTTCATGCTGTCATGATGTAAGAGGTTAACACGTTCACCAAGCACTGTAACTGCACCGTCTTATACGTGAGTGAAGGTAAGGAGTTTCAATCTAATTCTTAAATATGCTTAGAGCAACGGGGGAAAAATTCGACTTGTACCTGATTAACCGGAGGCAGATTTATAGGTTGCGGATTTAATCGGGCTTTGTATATAAAAAAGGAACGCTTGTTTATTGGAAAATTCACAAAGCCTCGGCGTGAAGCTAAAATGTCTCGAAAAATATAAAAAAATCAAAAAAGTGCTTAAGAAAGCATAAATGATAACCGATTACGTCATACTCATATATAACTTAATTCCTTTATATCTAATAATAGTTATTCTTTTTTTATTTGCAGTGTGTCCTTTCTGTTTTGAATACTGGTTTAATTCGTAAATCAAATGAATTTTTTTCTCAAATTTAAACTGCTTGAAAATATAGGTTAATTTAAAATTAGCAAAGAAACAGCCTTGTGTTTGGCCTAGACTGAGTCAGGAACTCAATAGGTTTCTAGGGTAAATAGGTACAGGCCCTCTTCACCAGGAGCAAAGAAATCTACAAGACGAAAGCATCGAGCTCATCGGTCGTATTCACACCCTGCGGCATTAAAGCGAACGAGAAAGTAGCGCCATCTATTGGCAAAAACAGTAACGGTCGTGTTAACGAAATTCAAAAATTAAGTTAATAGAATATTTAAAGCGTTTTGAAAGACTTGATTGGACTTAAAGTCATTACCTAAACAAGATAAATCTTTGTGAATGTGAAAAACTTCCAGAAAATTCGCCAACTGAAGATCGTTTTGAATACTTTTTTCAGACGCAAGTTAAAATTATTATTAAATTTCCCACTATGATTAGCTATCGAAGACTTGTTAATTTCGTCTTTTCGGACATAAGATTCGTATTCCTTAACACAAAAATTTAGCGCTGGTTTAGTTTGCCGATATATCTCAAACCACACTGACTCGATATGCTATAAATTACCCAAGAATTAAAGTCAGAAATGGAATCTTTAAGAATTGAAAAGTAGACTTTATTGATAGGAGAGAAAAATGACTTAAAAATTAAACTTCTGAAGAATCCATACAGTTTTATGTCTGACAGAAGGATGAAATGGAAAGACGACAAGGTTCATATTTCTCATAGCGTAGTCTTCCTTGATATTAAGCTAAAAATTATTATTTGACTCGAAGAGATGGTAATACAAGAAATTAATTCTTCAATTTCGGTATGTGTGAAATGGAACTCTCGAGGCCTAGTTTCAAGACAATTTAGTGCTCGTTCGATTAAAACATCAGTAAACAGTGGTTTAACATCAAAAGAAACTATAATGAAACGCAGGGTAGAAAAATCTTTAAGTTTATAGACGATTTCAAAAGAATTTTTTACAGTCTGAATATTGCTAGAAAGTAAAGGAGAAAATCTGGAAACTAAATATTTGGCCAAAGGATTTGATGCCGTTTCTAAGTTGCAAACTATTGGTCGAAACAGAATTCCAGTTTTGTTGACTTAATAGGAAAGCATAGCACCTAGCACAGTTAGCAATAGGTGGAATAACTGATTTTTTATACTGAGTATATGAGAAGACTGAACAGCTGTTTTTACTTTCGTGAGATCAGAAGTTGAAGGATCTTTAGGGATCGAGCAGTATGGGCCTTCATTTATCAGTTTCGAAACTCCATCAATGTATGTGTCCTTGTCCATAACAACGATTTGTCCGCAGTTATCAGCTTTAGAAATTATAATGTTAGCATTAGAATGCTAGTATTAGAATTTTGCGTTCGCTGCTTTCCAGTCTTGCAGATTTCTTTGCTCCTGATGAAGAGGGACCTGCAACTGTTTGCCCTCGAAATGGATTGAGTTCCTGAATAAATCTATGCTAATTTTATGTTTCACTTTATAGTGTTTCTTTTCTGTTTTGATATAGGTTAATTGTTAATATTATTTTTCTATTAATTATAGTATGGATTACTTGTTTTTTATGTGCTTTTAACTGCCCTCGGATTAACCGCGTTTCTAAGTTAACCGCGAACTTCGTCGTTGGCGTTATTCCAATTAATCGGAAACTGAGTATATTTTAAAGATGAATTATATATATTATTTATTTATTTGTATGGAATATAAATTCAGTAGATAGTTGATGATTCTTTACTACACTCAGAGAATAACAGAGCTGCGTAGTCTCCTAAGATGTATAGCGAAACGAAAAACTTTCAGACGTGGCGTAGATAACAGGACACAATTTTATTCCTTGATAAGTAATACTGAGGGCACGTTACACATTATTATGAGTGTAATAAGCGCTCCCACAATTTATATAACGGATAATATCATGAGACAGAGGATGAAGCAAGCAACGCACGTTAGCACAACGAAAGGAAAGCAGGAAAACTGAGCTGGCATTTCTGCAAGAGGTGTTTGTAGACTTAGTTCCTTTGTTTAAATGCTAGACTTCAAATGGATAAAAAATATTCTGTGTTGTTGAGATAATGGCACAACGAAGATTAATTTCCAAATGATGGACTTTTGTTGTTGTTATTGTCTGATGCTCACTTGTCTGAAAAATAGTCAGCCCAAGTAATAGTTAATTATTAATAGTTGGAACTGCCTACATAAGACCATACATACTATATCTGAAAAATAAAAATTTAGAACGCAAAAACATACCACGAAATATAAAAACATGAAGAGGAATTTATTCACACACATATATACCGTCATTTATTCAAACAGGAGTAATGCTGCGAGCATAATTTTTTTAAAAATTAAAGTTTTTAAGATACTCAGTATTTAAAACCTTCGTAACAGCAATACAAAGAAGTACGGAGTATAAAGGAGTTCCTCGCAGTGAAAACTAGGAGAAACAAAATAAGCTCCCTTCTTGAACCGTACTATTTATAATCTATTTTTATATTCTTCGAGGAAAGCTCAAGAAAAGTGCGTTTGGCTTTCTGAAAGCTTGGGAATGAAATGTATTTCCGCGCCGCTCTTCGATAATACTTCTCAGTGCTTTTACTTAAAATATGAACAGCTCGACGTGTTTGGAGGCTTGGTGTCTTTTATCGGGCTGACACATTAAAACCACGTTCCGCTTTAGAATTCCACTAAGCTATAATATATTTTTAAAAGCGATAACTATTACCACATGTTATGATAAGTATTAAAATTAAATCCTTTATTGAATTTTGTTCAACTAAGAGAGGAGAAGTCTTTTTATAAGAAAAAGATGCCGCCAGAAATAGTTAATGGATTTACAGAAAGCTTTTAAACGATCAGGAAAATATTTCGCAAAAATATAAATGTTAAGTAGGAGAGGAATGAACTATGGAACTAACTCATTATCTTCTTTAACTCATTGCTTGTAACTCATAAAAAACTGCTGCACATTCGCATTAGAAGCTCTTTTAAATTCATGCTTCGACTGTTCCAAGAAAAACGACTTGACTGAATGAATACCTCTTGAATGACTGTTCGTAAAACCAGCTTAAGATGATTCAAACAAGGTAGCCTTCAAATTACGAAACATTTTGTGCCATGCTACCTTTTAATAAAATTATACAAAAACGTAAATTTTTACGGTGCCCCATATCAGTGACAAATGCGTCTTGAATAACTCTAACGATAGTTAAGCAAATAATAAATACTACTCTCATGCGATTACCAAGATATCTTTAATTAAAACTTTAAAGGCTCGTATCCAAATATTACCTTTTACACCAAGAAAACATTTATTTAGATCAAAATTATTATAATCAAAAACAGGTTTCAAATTACTATTTACAGTATTGTTAAAATTATAAGTTTTGTTTTTAATGAAATTTAATTTTTTGCTAATATCTTTGGATGGGAATTATGTCATCGAAATTTGACTTTTTGCGTGGTCAGTTTTGCGTATTACGAACAATTTTTTCTAAAATGTTGTTGCTGTGACTTATCTCACTTGTCTGACAGTAACATCAGAAGAAGCCCGTGAAATTCACCGGCGCAGGGAGTAAAAGATAGCACCTGTCGTTGGCAAGCATGGAGGTAGGAAAGGGAGGAGGGGCCATTCCGCGCTAGAAGTGAAGCACTGCTTTGAAGCTTGGGTCACCAGACGGGGTGTTTTTTTGTTTACATTCAGAAGCTCGCTTGACAAAATTCTGATAGTATTTCGACACACGACAGTTCCATAGAAATCGAAAAAGGGTCACTCTCGCATGAAAGAAACATTCATAGTGTGATGGATAATAGCAATTTGTATAGTTTACTGACATTTTACGCAAAAATCACATCTTGGTTATTTTTCGATAACTAACAACAGCGATTTTGATTATGAATTTGTTTTTAAAAATTCTAAGCTGTTGCACTACAAAAATATAGATTTTAAGAAAATTGCTAAAAGAGATCTGCCAAAATTTATTTTCTAGAAGATTTGAAAAGTTTGAAACTTGATGGCTAAATGTAAATATAAAATTATTATGTATGTTAAAATATTTGTAATTAGGCACATAGGTCAGATTAAGTTTTTATTAAACAGAGTAACGCATGCAAGGGCTTTCTGCCTAAAGAGAGAGATGCCATCGTGGGGGAATTTTGAAGAAAAAACTGACCTTTGAGTGGGTATTAAAAATAATACTTATAATTTTCATTCAAATTATATTCATATATATTTTTTATGTAAAACTTTCGGGTGTATGCTAAATTAGTGTAAATTACTTTACACGAAAAAATATAGTGAATGCACAGAAATTAAAGATTTGCACATGCCGGAAATGATAAATAGGAAATAGGAAATATGTACGGGTATTTATGCATGTACTTGCAAAAAGCATGTATCTGCCTTTGACAAAATACTTAAATATTCATTAAATTATTTATAAATGTATTTGAAATGAAGAATTTATTCACTTATAAACAACTGTGAAAATACTGTGAAGAAATCTAATGATTAAATGTATCTAATTTATAATGATTATAAATGTTATCTAAATATATAATAACCTTAATATTGAATTGTAAACATAAATTGAAATCCTGTTGACAAATACGTTATAAAAGTATTTAAGCAAGAATTGTTCG